CCATGTCCTCCCTTTCCTTCTACTAGCTCTGACGTCGCTTCAATTGTCAGAACATTTAATTCATGGTGAAACTAATTCCCCTTAGGCACATGCAGCTGCTCCTCTTCCTATTGGTTGGGTGGAACTTCTGCTCCAAGATAGCACAACACCTCCAAGGGACGATTTAACACTTTTACCAATCAATTATATATATATATATATATATATATATATGGGGGAGGGGAGACTATCTGCTTGATTGACATGATATTAACTTTATTTTTCTGCTTTTATGAGTGGGTTTTTGTATTTTCTTTGTTTTTACATTTTTTCAGATAATTATATTCATCAAGAGAACTATTTGATTGTTAGTTTGTTTTAATTACTTCACAGCATATTGTATTTGCTTTTGTAATAATGATTTTTTTGTTAATATTGTTGTAATCCCCACAAAACAAAATAAATGTAATAAATAACTAATCCAAAATATTAATGTAAATATTTATGAAAGCATTTATTGAATATTTTATGTTATTATATTAAGAATAATTTTAATCTTAGTTTAGAAACATTTTAGAAATAGATAATGCAGAATATTTTTATTAGAAAAATAGCAAATAATTCTTTGCATGTTTTATAATAATTTAAATTCAGAAAATAAATGATTTAAATAATTTAATATCATAATATCGACTAATAGGTAACTGTCATTCAAAAATATAATGGCGTATTAGCAATTTTAGATAATGCCAATACTAATAATAATGTAATTATATAGAAAACCAAACCTGATATACATTAATAAATGATATGGCTAATGATTAAATTTAACATGAGATGGTGACTTAATTGACCATCTGATGTTAAATTTAATCGTAGTCCAAATTACTTACTATCTTAATAATTAATTAGGCATATTATAGTTCAATAAGAATCTGGCTGTATCATCTGATTACTACTAACAACAATGATTTCAGGTTATACATGTGCATTTTTATAATATATTTTAATATTTAAAAGCTGTGTAAATTTTAATTTTCTGAGAAAATATTAATTTGTAAGTTTTATTAAACTTAACTTTCATTCTAGTCANTTGTAGGACACTACCGTAATTACAATCATAATTATCGATACCTTATAATAATTTAAAGGTTAAAATTTGAATGTTGTTATAATCGGAAATACAAATTTAATTTTTTTTAAATTAAAAAATTTAATCATCATTATATATATATTGAAAATCATCATTATTATTAAATTAACAATAAAAACAAGCTTTACTCTGTTAAAAATTTAATTTTTTTTTATTTTTTTAAATGTTATTTCATGTTTAGAAATGATACTTAATAGCTAAATTGTAAGCATTCTAGCAATTCGACTATTTCATTTATTTTTTTATTAATGTTACATAATCCAATGACTATTTTAAGTAAAATAAATGCAATAAGTAAGTAAGTTTATGTAATAACTTATGATTTATTTTATATTTTATATATTATCATTTATAATTGTTTATTAAAAATAAGTATTCAAAAATCTATAAATTTTATATGTTAGCATATTAACAAAAATAGTATATATTGATGAAGATATGATGCAGCCGTACAAATAAAATTAGTTATCGCATAAAAAAATAGGATGCAATAAATTACAAAATAGCTATAATAGCAGCAGTAAGTGGCAATTAAATTCTTAATTTTAGTCTAAATTAAATAAAGATTTATGTATTTTGATGTATTAAATTCATATCTATAGAATAATCCACAATAAATAAATAAATGAATAAATTCAATTGATTAGATGGACTTATAATGGCATTTATTATTTATATTTATTTCTCATGTATATGATATTTGAAGGGCTCAGATGTAAAAATTGGCAATCACATTTTGAATTATCTTACTGATAGGCTGCTCTACCTAATGTCCACCTTCCGAAATAATCAGAAGTGTCAATTTATATGCATAGAAGGAAGGCAAAGTCAGTTAAAGATCTGTATAATTTGTCTTTTTAAAGTACAAACAAAGAAATAATTTGTGTTTTTCTCCAGAAGCTATGTTTATGTGAATTATCACCATTTACATCCAAAACTTTAGTAATTGATTATAATGCTTTTGAATTGCAAATATTTTAAATTTCGACATACCCTTTCTGCCGTGCTTTTCCATCGTTGTACAGAACATTCTGTTATGCGCTTGCAACGTAAATGAGGAATATGACCGTATACATTATGAGATGATTTCCACATTCTGAAATTTACAGATTATTAGCATTAATAACTTATAATAAATACTGTTTAAATTTATGCAATTATTAGTGAAATTAATAATAAAAAAATTATATTATATTATTAGTATCATATACATATATTCACAATGTAAAGTATACACAATTATTTAAAATTATCTTGTAGTAAGGTTTAATTTTAAATTATTAAACCTTATTACAAAATCCAATTTACACCAGACAATTGGCTGAGGCAGTAACGACATCAGCCTACCTATCGTTTTGGGATCAGAGTGGTAAAAAAAATTTCCAACAATTTTTTGGTGGTTGGTCTGTCTCAGTTATGTTGGACCCTCATCCCTCACCACCTGCACACCCATTGTGAACCTGGATGAATCCAAGATGGGCGCTGAATAATGGCCGCCTTAGTGACTACAGGACATAGCGTCAATTTACAATTCTTCATTATAAAAGTTAGTTTACAAAATTAAAATTTACAAGAATCATTTAATCATTTACAATTATAAATTATTTCTACTATATTTTAAATGATATTTGTTCTGCTTTGTTTTGATCTCCATGTGAAATATCAGATTATGGGACAAAGTCCTATTAGAAGAGAATTCTAAATATGNGTTATCGCGTAAAAAAAATAGGATGCAATAAATTACAAAATAGCTATAATAGCAGCAGTAAGTGGCAATTAAATTCTTAATTTTAGTCTAAATTAAATAAAGATTTATGTATTTTGATGTATTAAATTCATATCTATAGAATAATCCACAATAAATAAATAAATGAATAAATTCAATTGATTAGATGGACTTATAATGGCATTTATTATTTATATTTATTTCTCATGTATATGATATTTGAAGGGCTCAGATGTAAAAATTGGCAATCACATTTTGAATTATCTTACTGATAGGCTGCTCTACCTAATGTCCACCTTCCGAAATAATCAGAAGTGTCAATTTATATGCATAGAAGGAAGGCAAAGTCAGTTAAAGATCTGTATAATTTGTCTTTTTAAAGTACAAACAAAGAAATAATTTGTGTTTTTCTCCAGAAGCTATGTTTATGTGAATTATCACCATTTACATCCAAAACTTTAGTAATTGATTATAATGCTTTTGAATTGCAAATATTTTAAATTTCGACATACCCTTTCTGCCGTGCTTTTCCATCGTTGTACAGAACATTCTGTTATGCGCTTGCAACGTAAATGAGGAATATGACCGTATACATTATGAGATGATTTCCACATTCTGAAATTTACAGATTATTAGCATTAATAACTTATAATAAATACTGTTTAAATTTATGCAATTATTAGTGAAATTAATAATAAAAAAATTATATTATATTATTAGTATCATATACATATATTCACAATGTAAAGTATACACAATTATTTAAAATTATCTTGTAGTAAGGTTTAATTTTAAATTATTAAACCTTATTACAAAATCCAATTTACACCAGACAATTGGCTGAGGCAGTAACGACATCAGCCTACCTATCGTTTTGGGATCAGAGTGGTAAAAAAAATTTCCAACAATTTTTTGGAGGTTGGTCTGTCTCAGTTATGTTGGACCCTCATCCCTCACCACCTGCACACCCATTGTGAACCTGGATGAATCCAAGATGGGCGCTGAATAATGGCCGCCTTAGTGACTACAGGACATAGCGTCAATTTACAATTCTTCATTATAAAAGTTAGTTTACAAAATTAAAATTTACAAGAATCATTTAATCATTTACAATTATAAATTATTTCTACTATATTTTAAATGATATTTGTTCTGCTTTGTTTTGATCTCCATGTGAAATATCAGATTATGGGACAAAGTCCTATTAGAAGAGAATTCTAAATATGAAGCTTTACATTTTCACATAATCACAATTAAATTTATATTATATATATATAATTTAATTAATTTCATTCAAAAAGTTTACTTTTATGAAATAGTTTATAAAAATTTGTTGTATAAAAAATGTATAAAATGAACTTTAAAAATCAATTATTTAAAATGTTTAAATTGTTATTATTTCAATCATTAATATAAATAATTAAAACAAAGTTGTTTATGCATAAATGTAATAAAATATTCAATCATGTATATAATACCTTATTAAAGTTCTATATACACGATAGGAAAACAGCCATCCAACAAATAATTATAATACGAAGATAGAAATTAATTAAATGGCAGATTATTTTAAAACAATTAAATTAATTAAAATCATTGATTTAAGCATATTTGAAGTTGATTTTTAAACTTCACTATTAAATTTAGTTTATAAGCAAGCTAAATATATATCTTACTTGTAAAAGATCTTAACTATCTATCCCCTTATCAATATATTGCAAGAATGATAAAAGAGTTTTGCAGTTCACAAAAATCATTATCTGATTTTATCAGTTGCAACCAATAATTAGTGTGTGAATCAGCTGTGCTCAGTCAACCATGCCAAAGTAAACAGTGTACAAAAACTTAAGTAAATACATTTTTAATAATCATGTCGAAAACATATGATGTAAAAATAGATTTGAAGCCATTCATTAATTACATATACAATTCTATGAGGGTGAGAGAGATCAAGGCATTGTTTATGTGCACTTTTTTAGTGGTATTAATAGCATACGAATTTGTTCTTTTAAGCCTACTTACTAGTCATGCAAAACTGACAGAAAATATTCCTAGAACTTTTTAAAGTAATTTTTTCAATGTTAGAGATTCAGCGAACTATTGTATACATAATTAAAGGTTAGAAGGTTTGCCAAAAGTACAACATTGTACACAACAGTGAGGAAGGGGGGTCAAAATGGTAAAAACTGTAGACATATTTAATGGATGGCTCCTTTCTTATACGGTTAAATTTTACAAAATTTTAAGATTTGAGAAAACTATTTTACTTTAAATAAAACACATTAAAATTAATATTAAATTAAAAATTGTTTTAATTCTAATTACTTAAAGAAATTTTATCTTTGAATAATTACTGACATTTAATTCAAATTTCTAAATATTTTATTAAAAATTAGACATCTAATATATATTTTTGATATATGTTAGATGTGATAATATCAGTGATATGCTTTTTGTCCTTATATTATTATAATTGAATAAGCAAGCACTAAGTTTGTTTGTTAAGTTACGGCAATGCAACACTTCGGCGATCTGCCTAGTGGGAATGCCTTCTGGGAGGTCTTTTAAGGGTAACTGGCCCTATTCAGGCGTTACGGATGTGGAGAAAACATAGAAAACTCCACATGGCCAATGCCTCTGTGCAAACCCACAACCAAACTCCCACTGTTCAGGAAACGGAACAGCTTGGTCACTGGTGGGCCCACTAAGTTTTGACTCTACAGAGGACTCATCCCACACTTTTGACACAGCCAGACAGTTCACCATTCCGATGTGATTTCTCCGGCTGCATCAGTAGTGCACAATAAGTCTTCCATAGAGCCAAAACTTAGCACTCACATATTCAATTACATATTTATGCTACAATATATCCTGAAATATTAAAAAAAAATGAATTTAATTCAAACTCCAAAACAAAAATGTAAATATTAAACGAAATAAAGTTTTTTTGGCTAAAATATTACAAATACATTTATCCCAATGCTGAAAATATCTAGAAGCAAAAATAATTAATTCTGTTTCTATAGTATAAATGTATCAGTAATTAAAATTCAATAGCTGATACACTGATAGATATTATCAATAGAACAATATTGAAAAATTGTGAATAATGCACTGTGATGATGCACTTTCAAGATAAACCCAGCATCCATTCCACACATATGTTATTTAGAAAGAGCTTATCACTTTCACTCATCAGTTTGGTTATCAAATTAGTTCAAGGTCAATATTTATATATCATACACGAAATTTTCCCCTTTGTTCAACGAATTGTATCTCCAGAAATAATCCAATGGCTACTTTACCTCGTTTCTGCCAATTTTCACACAAAATCAAACTAACTTCTCTGCGCTGTTGGAAGAAAACAACAAGTATAATATCTGTGACGTCACAGACGTTATCACGTGCCGCGTGTGACGTCAAATCTTTTAAATTAGATTCGGAAAGGGAAAAAAATATCGTTTATTTTCTCGAGATAATTTTTGTCGAGATGATGCTTGCTTAATTCATTATATAATAATTTTATGAAGTTAATTTAAATTATTATTTTTATAGATTTACCTCGATATTTTATCATCCTTCCAAAGTAAATATTTTCTTGAAAATTTGGCGAAATTTTTCATTACGTAATTTGCTTCAATTTCTGCTTTTAAAATAAAATAAAATTAATTAAATTAATTTTAAATATTTTANTTAACTATATTTTCTGATATAATAATATTGTAAGATGCACTGATATAGAAACATCAGTTGAAAATTTGCTCACGTGCTATATTCGTCTGGCAACTTAAAAAATTTGAAATTTGAAATTTGAAATTAGAAAAATTATATTTATAATAAATATTTATATTTAAAAAATTAAATATTTTAAATAAAACTAATTAAATTTATATTAAGAAATGTTTTAAGGCCATAGTCTAGTTTAAAATCAAACTTGAAACCAGTTTGAAAAAGGTCACAATTTACAATTAGACAAATATTTTCATTTACATCAGGTAAAGATTTATAAATTGTATTAAAATAAATAAAAAATTGTGTTTCGGAATTAAATAATTCATATATTTAAAATATTCAATAGGTCATACATATACTAAACATTTGATTTTTTGTACTATTCAATGGAAAATTATTAAATTTGTTTATCAGATAAATTTCGCAGTGCTTTAAACTTATTAAATTTATCAATAATTATAATTTTATTCGATCCTGATTTTTTAAAGACAAAGAATAAGATGATTCTCAAGTGGAAATCGAACCCGAATCATCCTGAAAGAACGGAAGATCTGTAAAGTAAGCAGTCGGATGATTGCGCGTGATCGCGTGAAGCAATTATCTGAGTTTTCTTCGTTAATAAAAATTATAAAATCATCAAATAACTATAAGTGCATTTATTTTATCTAAATAGTATAAACTTTTACGTTAAAATGGCGTCATTATTACACTTTCTTATAAGAAAGAAAACTTCAAGAATGATGTCAAGTTGACATAATTCGGGCAAAACAAATGTCCCTTATATAGTATAGTTTTTAAGTCAATTTATAAATCAATTTATAGTTTAATCTAGTGTAATTTATGAAGTATACATACATACATTTTGCAATAAATAACTATAATTGTAAAATATAGGTTATATATTGTACAGCATAACAATTAATAAGAAAAAAGTAGAATATTTTGTTTTTGCTACGAATATTTATATATATATAGCCTATACCAGGATTTGCACATAAGGTAAATAAGCTGCAGTTTAGGACCTCACGTTATAAACCTATAGCTTAGGGCTCCATACTTTTATAAGCATCACTATTTGGTGGAAGGAAAGAACTTATTGTATGTCCTTAAGCTATAAGAGGACTAAGTCTAGTTTTGCTGTATACTATTAAAGTTCTATGATAGTCAAAGCAACAAAGATATAGGAGATTAATAAATAAATAAATTAGGAAAATACTTACTGAGATAGAATTGATGCAAATTAACTATTGTTGACGATATACAGTTGTTATCTAAATAAAAATTAATCTTTCGCGTTTATATGATAATAAAAAAATGACTGCCTGTTTTTTTTTAAAATAAAATCCTGTAATCTGATTAATTGTATCAGCAGCTTAGTCAATACAAATTTAAAAATGCCAATCACACAACAGAAAAAAATATCAGAAAAATCCTATTGAGTAATAAGTGATTTGCTACAAAATTAAATTTCTAAACTTCGTGTATTGTATCACATAGAGTTGCTTAATTTTAAATTTTAATCATTCTTCCTGAAATTTCAATTATATTTAGTAATAATAATAAATTGTTTTTTTCTTAATATTTAAGTTTTTTAAAAGATCCTTTTCTCCCCATGGTCACTAATAGGACTTTTTTTCAGACCAACATTGGAACAGCCGGATGATGAGGAACAGTTTATTTTCTGAAAAATTCCTGGGGTTTATTCTAATCCAGGTTTGAATCTACCGCTCTGGGAGATCCGGAATTCGATCCCGGTCACCCAGAACAGTAAGCTGACGATTTAACCATTCGGCCATATGCACCACTTGAAGTGTTTTTTTTAAATATAAATTAAATAATTATTTGTTACTACGTAGGAACTCTTATTTTCTTTTTTACGAAGGATAAATGTATTAATGATAAGAAAACAAAGGATAATCACTATTTGAAAATATTTATCTTAAATGATAACATACAGAAATTTGACAAATGTGAAGTAGATTAATCTTCAAATTAGGAAACTTTTTCGTATTATGAAATATTATCTTATTTGGTATTTAATTAACGATCAGATATTTTTCAACAACATGTAAATCAAACAATAATTATTTACTGTAATCTAATTGTTATAAATGTAAAAAAAATATATATATATATTTTATTTATTCTAATAAGTGTTTATGCTAATTTTATACTTTATTGGACATTATAATTTAATTGTATTCTATGTATTTAATTTGTTATAGTTTCTTTTAAAGATATACATTCAAATAATATAAAAATGCAAATTTATATTAAAGTAAATTATTGTAAAATTTATTTTTATTATATTATATACTTGGTCATGTACGAAACAGACACCAGACAATAAGTATTTCGTAACTGTTTATTGGATCATACAGTGTAACATGGACTTGGGATGCATTTTGGGATTTTTATTCCCTCCTCTGCCAATCACACATACTATAATTTTATGAAATTACACATTTATATTTAAATAGCATTTATAGAACATCAACAACAACATTTATGATTTGATATATGGATAGTAGACATAGTTGGCTAAGGAAGAGGTAAAAATCCAGAAATGCATCCCAAGTCCATGTTGTGTAATAAAATTCAATAAATAATCACGAAACGTCTGTATGTCTGGTGTCTGTTTTGCACATGACCAAGTATATATTTTAAATAACGTATTAAATGCAAATTTTGTATTGTTAATATTCTTTTCTATTGCTTTGTAATCTTTTCCAAAGATCTAAAATCCTGATTATGAACAATTTACGATTTATATCGCGTGTTCAATTCTTTTTTTTTTCTTTTTTTCTTTTTTTCCTTTTAATCTTCGCCCTTCGTAAAATATTTTGTTGCTTCAAATAATTATTATAGTCTCGAAATAAAATGAAATTGAATATATGAATAATGACCTATTGAATAGCTTATAACTACTAATTATTATTTATTTTATTTTCGAAACATTCGTGCATAAAAGGATTATTAAAGTATTTTGAATACAATCCAATTTAGAATAAGTCATTATCCTTAAGTGAGAATTTTTAACGTTACCCTCTTATTAATATTCTTAATGAACATTAATACCGAATACATGAAGAATAAAATCAAACAAAATGCACAAATTTCGAAAAGTAATAACGATGTTTTTATATTATTAAAAAAAACAATTACTATACATAGACTTATTATTGACATAAAACCAGCTTAACAGAAATATTTTATACTATCAGATGAATCTGCAATTGTTTATAGCTATTTGGCAAGATATTGTTCCAAAAAAACTATTGGCAACTGCTATAAGGAAGCAAACAAGCTGTATATTGCTTGTGCCAACTAATTAAACAAAATTTAATTTATAGAGATAATTTTTTTTTAGTTCAATGTTTCATTTACCAAATCCATAAAGAATTTTTTTATCATGGATTTCAAAAACTTACCTTTTTATGAAATCTGTATCTATTTTTTACTCATAATAAGAAAAACAAAGCCGTCCATATTGATTATAGTATGCTGGCTTCTCACATAAATAATCCTTAAAATTTTATATAGAAAACTTTAATTTATATGATATAAATCCTATAATTTTACCAATTTTAGGATAATGCTTTGCATTAAAACAAAGCTAAGGAATAAGTTAGAATAATCGCAGAAAAATATCTACTTATTCTACTAATGTGAAAAATCTAATCTTTAGATAGAATTTAAATTGATAAAATAAGTAAGAAACTGTCAGCATGTTTAACCTTTTGACATTCAGTGATAATTAATCATTCACACAGCAGACATTAGCCAGTTATTTAATTATATGTTTTTATTTTGATTTTGTTTGGTGGGTATTCCATTAAACGAAACTGGGTTAGTGGACCAACGGGTAGAAGGTTTTCCAGGCCTTCACGTATCTAACACCTAAATAGAGCCCAGTCCCCCATAGAAAGTACTCCCAGGAGGTACCCCTTGGCAGATCGTCCTTGTTACTCTGACTTAATCCATCAATCCAATCCAATTCCTCAAGACAGTAGAATAATCCATCTTACTGAAAGGCCATAAATTCGATTAATTCAAGATTGAAATCTAATCACGAACTTTTATGATACAGTATTAGGAATCAAACTTCATTCGCCATCTTTCACCAATTAAGACTAGAGATGTGAGTTAAGAACACCCAAAATGGACAAAATTTAGTTTATTGTATTAAGTTTTTTTAAAATTAAACATTATATTATGGTAATAATAAATGAATTGTATATTATCTTTTATGCAGAGTCATCTACTAGTTCGATATTGAAGAGTAAGGCCGCATTTAGATTACGCTGACGTTTCATGTTAACACGTGTCATGACGTGTTATCGCGTCACATCACGACACAGCAGATTTGAAAACACTGCTCACATTGTTGTGTTGCATCAGTGTAGTTGTCGTAGATTCCAACAAGAACTTGTTGAAAACTACTGATGGAATCTGATGTTATCGTTCTTCAGTTGTTGAAGAATGTACTGTATATTTCTTTCTGTGAAAAATTGTTTGTTTAGAGAAATAAATATTATTCAAACGTTAAATGACTTTTATGAAGTGGAGAAGATTTTGGTTGGGACAGTTTCAATATTAGTGTAATATAAAAGAAGAGATTGGTTGCTTTCGATAAATACTGATAGATCATAATTTGGTGAATTACATCACCTAATGCCTCAATTTCTGGCCGATGAAAAGCAAGAACTATACATGAAATGTATCTGACGGCTGACGAAAATCTAAACATTTTGATCTGTGTGTTTCCACGTGTAACACAGGACTTATGCTACTTGTTGTCAGCATACGTTAGCAGATGACATATCAACATAATGCGAACGCTTCGATAAAGATTTACAAGTCAACGTTTTCTTTAACACGTCATAAACACAATAATCCATGTTAGCATAAAATGTCAGAGTAATCTGAATCCGTGAAACAAGAACAAATACAAGAATTCCAAAAGATTAGACATTCACTAGTGAAAGCAAAATGCAAATGGCGTTTTTCTCCATTGCGAATTTGGTTCTGATTAGCGTTTTTCGAAATGTGAACAGCAAAATAGCATAGCCAATCAATTACGAGTGAAAATGAACGTTATTCCAACAAGATGGCTTATAACTGCGAGTTGATAATATTTATTTAAAAGAAATGAAAAAAATAGATCATCGCTTATTTCAGTCAAAAATTGTCGTAGGTTTCGCGCTATCTTCGTTGCTGCCGTCTTGGATTCCTCTATCTTTACATCAACAAATTCGCCATTCTGATTGGTGGGAATATTTTTGGTTAGCGAAAAAGTTTAAGACATTGGACTACCAGCGCGATTTGTTAAACCGAAATATTCTCGTTTTTAGTGTTTCGCTAGCGAATCGCGCTCAGTGTGAACTAACCTTATTAAATAAACATACGTGAAAAATACGCAATAAAGAACATATTAAAAAAAATTCAAATATTTATTGAAAATTGTTTTAATTTAAATGATTCCATTATATATTCATTAATTATTTAATCAAAAATCACATTCATGAATAAATAAGCTTTAAAATAATTCGTACTATTACAATATATATATATATATAAAACTATTAGATTTGTCAATGTTTTTTTTTTCAAATTCATAATGAATGTGAAAATTTAATGTACAAAGAAATGATTTTAAAAAAAAAGAAATTAAAAAAATGGAGTTCTCTGTATCAGAACTGAATGGATATTGCAATGAGGAATGCGAATGTCCAACATATACATTAAGGCACTTTTAATCACAGAAAACTCTTACTTAGTCATCACTGAAAATAAATTCTGCTGAAGATGAGTGCAATGGCCATGAATATGATATTGCTCAACGTTCGAGCACCCGAACATGTAGAATAACTTACATCGTCGCAGCTCTGAATTCTATAACGAATAGAGCTTCCCAGTAATTGGTCGACTACAGCGGAATTTTCGCGTCGACATTGTTTCTTTACGACTTCTCGAACGCATTCTCTATATCTCAGAGCCGAACTATAAAAATATAAAAAGTATTAATAAATATTCGAAAATTAAGATATGATTTAGAATAAAAAATAGATATTTATAAAAAATAATTTAGAATAATTATAGGTGATTCGAGTTGGCAACACTTAATNGCAAAAAAAAAAAATGAATAAATCATTAAGTGGTGCCACCTCGATTCTAATTTTATTATTATTTAAAATTTTAAAATATATTTATTTAATATTTAATAATTTTAATCGGATAATATTTTATATTATTTAAAATAACAATGTTTTAGTGATAAATTAATTTAAAGAAAAATAAAATTACACTTATCGAGTCAGTAAATCATTGTTTAGTCGCGGTCCACTTTTAAAATTTTCAGTTCGTGAACCCATGAAATTATTAACTATTCACCTGTATTCACGTACTTAAAACCGGTTAAAACTTATGATCATGTTAAATATAAAACAATCATCGCATGATGTTGAAGCACTTTAGCATAATATATGACAGTTATAACGTATGAAACTGTGTCCGAGTTCGTTTGCATCACGTTTTGCATATTTAATATATGCAAACAAGATCCTTCCTGATTGATGGAATCATTGCGTACTTTTTAAATCTATTTTTTCTCTAAATATAATACACAAAACCACGATTCTGTAATAGTTTATTTTTATATATTCTAATCTAGAGAATATATTTTTGAATATTTTAAATCAAAAATTCTAGTTTAAAAAACTGTTTTGCTGTCCTGTGGGCACTAAGAGAGCTTTTTTCTATACATATCGTGGATTTGAATCGGGGTGTCGGAGGAACGGAGCCCGATATATCTAGGAATTAAACATGGATTCGATTCCGGATCCCCCAGAATGGCAACCTGACGCGTTAAAAGCCTCGGTATCTCGGTATCACTGTATAAAATACTTAAAATTATATATATAGTCAACTTACCAGCACGATCTAGTATGTCTCTCGTGACTGTTTGTTATCTTTCTAACCGCTTCTTCGTCTTCCTCTACTCTATTTTCGCAATGTCGAAACTTCTGTCTAGACACCGCTTCGCAAGTAGAATCTACGAAAATTTGAAAATATATAAAAATATTCGTAATCTATCGGAAAAATACAACAATAATTCAATAACATACCATCATCTGGATAATATGGACTCGACTCACTACCAGTACCATAAGGATATTGAGTTTGATGACTATCAGTGTATGAACAAATCCAAGCTTTATCGTTAACTCTACTTATTAAATATAAAGGAAAGAGTAATTCATCATTCCTGTTGCAATTTCTGTTAGTTCTGCGTAAGTTTTGTTCGATACAATCGTAAAATTGCTTATATTTTCTGAAATAATATAAAAATATATCGATTAAATAAACAGATATACACGTATAAATTCATTATGCATTACGTGAAGTACCCGCAATCTATATCTCCTCTACCATATCTTCCCTCGCTTAATTGCTTGTCGCAGTCTCTAATTTCTATACTCGTGTAACATTGCGATCTTTGCAAGTCTAGAAATGTAATTATATTTTTAATACTACAATATTTTCGGTCCAAAATTAAAATTTAAAGCCATTACCTCCATTGACATCGCATTTACTTTCAATGGCTCTTTTAGCATCGCTCAATACTTGTGTATTCTTCTCATATCTGTTTGTCACACAGTGATAATTTTGCCAAAAGTAGCAGTTGAAGTCGTTCAGGTTGTCTCTGTTCGAAATCATTTATGAGTAATTTACATACTAAAATTAATTTTCGAGTGATTAAAAGATTATACAAACCTGCACTGAGGATTGTTACTTCTAGGATAAGTATCTTTCTCTTTAATAATCCTCTGCAATGAGTCTCGACATTGATAAAGCCTGTCATTGTTACACCGTTCGTTCATACAGCAAATTTCATTATAAATACCTGTAAACAGTTTTTAATATTTAAAATTTACTACATAAACGGTACATATATAAAAAAATAATAAAAATATTCAATAAATAAGTAATGGGTAGCTTTATTCCTCGCTTGAGAGAATGCAAACGAAAAAAAAAATATGGCTGATATAGATAAACATGATTACTATCAGATTTACTGATGCATAAAAGAAGATGAGAACTTAAAAATAAAAGTATAAAAACAAAAATAAAGTTACAGAGGAACTGGTTCACAACACAGCTGAGAAAACAACCTGTTAAGCATGAAATACAAAGCTTTGTTTAAGTCATATTAATATTGTTTCAACAATGGTATACTCGTATATAAATCCATTTATAAATCCATCCTTTAAATAAAAAAGTTTAAATTCACCAGTATTATTATTATATGAACCTCGTCCATTGGAAGGCCAGGACGGAGACGAAGTGTCTGGCGAATAGGAAGATGAGTACTGAGGACATTGCCACGGCAGGTCATGAGCCATATCTAATAAGTACATGAGTATGTATTCGTTATCGTCTCCTCTGCACGATCTGCTAATGGCGTTTCTCATACACTCGTAGTACTGATCGTATTGTCTATAAAAATAATATTTTTAAATACGTAATCATTTTTTTTAATTAAATATACGTATTTAAAATTTACCTGCAATTTTCTCGATTATGAAGAATTGCTCGTCTTGGAAATCCATCTTCGCATCTACGAACTTCGCTGCTATCGAAACAACTAGATTTTTTCGTCCATTCTGTAAAAATAAATGTAATTCTGTGTTTGATTTGTTATATAATACATAGAAGAATTGTTTAATTAAATTGTAATTTAAATTACCATCGCCGTCGCAACTGGTTTTATGTTGATCTCTGGCTCTTCGAATCTTCGAACCGTAATTTTGTCTGTCTTCTTCTCTTACGCAACTGATCGATTTTATCATGCAGTTGAAATTTTGAACTAGTTCTCTGTAATAATTGATTGATTATACGTTATTTTAAAGGTCTATGATAAAATAACATTATGTGGTTTATTGAATGTACCTGCATTGGTAAGAAGGTAATCGACTGGATGAACTAATCAAATTATCAATTTTTTGTTCGCATGATCTTAATTCTGAACATGAATCATATCTCTGTCCTTTGACATTTAGAAAACCTGCAAAAAATTATTTTATTTAAATACACATAGATCTAATATAGATAATTTAAACGAGCGTTTTTTTCTATTCTTCTTACATGAATAATCTTAGTGCCCGTGGGCTTTAATATCCAAGGCATTAAGCGATACGTATGAAAAATGGCACTAAGAGGGTCTTTTCCATATCTGGGTTCGATCAAGCTTACAATAGAGTACAACATAGCCGAGACAGATCGGCCATGAAAAATTTCTGAGGTTCCCTACATTCACCACACGGAAAACATTAAAGGGGCCTTTTTTCATACCTATCGTGGTTTGCCAAGTTTCCAATCGGTGTGACAGTGGTACCAGACAGACTACCCAAGAAAAATTTCTCAGGTTCTCCACAAAAATTCGATTTTGGGTCCTGCAGAGCGATAGGCTGACACCTTGACCATCCAACCATCCTAAGGAATACAGACTTTTGAAGAGTGATAAAGGATACTTCAAATTTAAGGAGTATTATACAGTTTTGTTCCCAATAAAACATTTCACGCTTTGCTGTAACCTAAATATAGGCTATTTTTTTATGTAGACAGAGCCTGTATTCTTCCAATCTTATGATCTGATATACTAATTCCAATGGCGCGTTATAACTTCATGAGCACCCAGGCAAGTTTTAAGTAGGGTACTTCAGACATCTTTGTTTTGAGGGAAAATATTTTCTTATGAAGGATTGATTTGAGGGCCTCTGTTGATGGAGGCCCCAAACCAACGGGCAATTGCTCTTTTTCACCCATACGCCACCGATTAATTCTTATATTTATGAAAATATAGTTGATTAAACCGTTAAAATGTAAGAAAACAATTAAGAGACATTTTCCTTGAGTAACCTTTATATTGTATTTGTGGAATGATAATTTAAAACTGGTAAATCAAGGTTACGACAAAATAAATTACCGTTTTCCAAGTACCAGGAATATATATATTTTTTTATAATAAGCACATGTGTTTTCTACTTTCGAATTTTTCACGCTGTACACATCAAAAGAATTGTTTTGTAAGCATTCACCATTAATTATAGTTAAGAATTAAAGAATATTCGACAATTTTTTAATTAAAATTACAAATCTTATATTATTTAACTTCATTAAAATTGTCGAATTTTTATTTTATTTAATTATACGCAGCTTCGAGTAAGTGTCATAATTTTACCACGTAATTTAATACGTATTAGACAGGCTATAGTATATTAATATCATTTTTAAATATGTCTATAAAATTTCAATAAAATCTACTAATAAATACTAACTTCATTTTATATTATATAACAAGAGGCAGATTTATACATAAAATAAACTTGGGGCCTCGCGTTATGAGTCTATAGCTTAAGGCTTCACATAGCTATGCCTGTTATACGTCAGTTTAGAGCCACAAGTATAAGTAAAGTCCTCCATTATTAAAGCATAATATAAAAAATACTGCTCAAAGTACTTATATAATTAATTATTATTTATAATTATAATATTTAGTGTTATTATTGAGAGAATTATTTGACTCTGTAACCATTTTAGAGGCTTTTTTTTTATTATTTTTATGAGTGTACAATCACATCAATGATGAGGTATTGTACAGTATATACAAAAAAAGGTCAATATTTAAATATATGAAGCAGTTATCAATGATATGTGTTTACGTAATTCTATGTTTGTATATGATTTTTTATTATACTCAATGTATCAATATGACGATTGCCATAACACTATGAATGAAAGGTAGGAAGCTCCTCCCTTTATTGTTATTTCTGGCTTATATACTACATCCGGGTTATTGTTGCTGCAATCTAGAGAGAGATAATCTTCAGCTCTTTAGCTTAAGCTTTACTAATTTGCACCATTGGCATTAAACGCTAAGCATTAAAGAGCTGATGTAAAAATTCGAATATCAGCAAGAATAACGTTAAAAATACGATTTTCTCAGACTCTATGGGTTATATAAAGAACAATCATTGTTCTGTTTTCATGTGTCCTTCTAAAGCACCCGAAAAGTTATTATTTTTTTAGTTCTTTTTTTTATTCCTCAAATATCGTTTACGCATGGTTACTCAGGCTTGAAAGATAGCTGTTGAGCCATCGACTTTCAGATATTGGTGCATTAACCACGTTCACTTAGATAGAAATTTAAATATTAAACTAATATTTAACAACTTAATTAAGTTTTTTTTTCGAAATACAGATGTGAAACAATACGCCATTATTCGGTAGTCACGACTACTTCATTAACTCTTCTTCAGAACTTATGTTGAAAGAACGACAGGAGAGGGTGGTGGACTTCCTGAAGTGTTGTGTAACAGTATTTTAGTTAATTTTTATATTATATGTTCCGACACGATCTTTTTTTTAATCGTGGCTGTGGAGTTTACGGAATCGATATTGAATATTTTAAAGGATTTGACCTCCAGAAGAAGGATAAAAAAATCGCAAAATCTCATGAAGATTAAACAATGAAGCATGATTAAACATGAATTGCAACATTGGCCTGTGAGATTTCAGAAGATGGCGTGCATTATTACAACAGTACACGCCCAATTGATTCAACAGAAAATCGAATCCGATGCCACCATATATCGAAGCTACTAGGTTACGTCTGGGATCAATAAACGATTATTCACTAAACAAACGTAATTAAATCATTTATAAATAAATAAAACAATCATCAATTTTTCATACTTTATAACTAATTTTAATATATTTAAACGGTATTAAAACGTATAAAAATAATCAACAAACAAAGCAGAAACTCCAAGCTCGCGTGCTACACATAAAAAAAAAACAAAAATCGATAAATACTCATCCATAACGAAGGAAAAAAACGTAACTAACCACTTAAAAATATAGAAATATAAATTATTTATTATTAAATACAGTTTTTTTTAACACTCGTTTTCATAGAAAATCACTTAGAATAAGTCTAAAATTAAAGCAATTTATCCTCTTCAAAAATGAAACTTCCTACTTGGGGTGTGTCACTATCCTAGTTAATTTAACCCCTATTTTCTCTTTGGTATTATTTTATCCATACTTTTTTTTTACCAATGATAAACAATTTTAAAATGTATGCAAGAGCACGACACATTTAAAAATATAAAAATTACCTGTTATAAGCAGAAGGACGATAAAAGAAACAGACATGTCGTCGTTTAATAATTTTTCCTTCGCATCTAAACAGTTGAACTTTCCTAGAGTTTGTACTACCCTTGACTATCCAATAGAAATACTCGGTTATGCGCATACTCGGTAACGAGAAAGGTATGACGGTGTCGTGCATAGGTGTCATAGGAGCTGGCAGAACAGGTATGACGTGTAGCAAACTGTATAGAAGTGGGATGAGGTCAAATGACCTTATGGAAATGTTGAAAAACCGAATTAACCGTTGTAAACAAATTATGAAAAGTTGTCATATTTATAAAGATTCTCTCATAAAATCGTATAAATTTATGGGTTATTTGTTTATTTATTTATTTTACCATTAAACGGCGGATTTTCTTATTTGTTTGCACATTCTGTTAGCTTTTTAAAAGCTGACCTACTCTTGAATCTATTCGATTCTTTCGTTTATACAGAAAAAAATAACACGCATAAATAATTCTAAAGCATATTAATTAATGTTATGAATGCTTAAAAACGTAAAGGAATGACCTAGTTTATGAGGGCAAGCTAAGAAATTATTCAGAAAATGTTTATATGCCAATTAATGAAGGATCTGTGAGGCTGAAAACACGACAGGAGTAAGAAAAGCCTCTCTCATTGTGAGTATAAAATTAAGATCTACTCGTTTCTACCAATAATTTTTGTGGTGGTGTGGTTATAAAATACACGTGTATATATCTCGAGAGGAGGGTACAATTTGCTTGTACAAACGTTGTGTCCTCTTACAGATGCACGACACACGTGCAACCTCACTCTTATCTTCATTAATGCACGATTAATGGAGGAGATACAAGATCAAATTTTACTTTTTTATGGTATTATTATTATTGGTTTAACGTATATAACAGCACTAGCATATTTATTTATAACATTAATTGCATTTATATATGTTGAACTATTAAACATCGAGAGTTCTTCATAAAATCGGTTATTAAATGGGAGTAACCTAAGTTAGAATGATTAAATATGGAAGGTTCAGCCGCATTTTATTTTAAGCAGGATCAAGTTAAATTCTCCTTCGGGCGCTAAGTACGTTAATCTGTCTGTACTCTTCGGTTTCCTTGGTTTTCGGAGTTTAATACACGTTTATTATCACACAATTTACAATTAATTTATGAACGTAGATGCCTACACGTTAATTTATTATATTTAAATCGTTAAAGAAGAGAACGTTACTGATTTAGAAGCTCATTAACTGTAAGACGTATTTTTGCAGGTCACACACTGCACTTGTTGGGTTAGTTTTTTTTTTTTATTTTTTTATTTTTATTTTTTATTTTAGTTGATCGTCAACTTGTTTCGCGGGTTCAATAGTCGTTAAAATCTCTTTCAAATTTTTCTACATTCTTTTTATTTACAGTGTAAAACAGCAAAAGTATTTCTAGTTAGGTGTAATCATCGGTTCCATACTTAAATACACAAGAGTTTCGTATTAAAAAATGGCTGGTCTGTAAGGGTTTTTATACGATTTTATAGTGTTTAACGAAGTAATTATATCCTAAATTTAGTGAATTAAATCTTAAATTTACCTTCATAATATACTAAATACGTTATTTTATATCCTGTTAGCTGACTCAGTGGATTTCGCAAATGCATTCTCTTAATACAACTACATTCACAAGTTTAATAATGATTTATTCATGTTTATGGCACATGTAACAGTAAAAATAAATAAATTTTTATCAAACTATTGAATTATAAATTGTCGGAAAGGCCTCTACATACGTTCATAACAGTTTTTTTTTAGGATAGAATAGTTTGCATGACTCTTCATATCGTAATAAGTAAGCAAGTTTGTGTTATATTATGAAGCATATTATATTATTTATCATGTATTTACAACTAGTAACATATAAAATCACGTTTCGTAGCTTTATTTAAGGCTACGAAAGAATTTTAAAGTCATTAACCTCTGTCAAAATTTTCGCTAAAGAATAAAAATGTGTACTAAAGTAGCCTATTATTAAATATTACTAAAATGGACAAGCTTTTGTTTATGGACTATAAACATAGAATAGAATAGCCAGAAGAGTCGTTAAAAATAAATAAATGCCCTTAGAATAGAGTAGGATTTTCATCCATTATGACCCTTTCAAACGTTTGATCCCAGAATATTCCCTAAATTTAGCACATTTACCTTTCTAAATTATAAAAATCCCCCACTGTACATGCAGTTTATAAACAGAACAATTCATTTTTTTTAGACGATTTGGGGTGATATCTATTAAATTTCTCTGTATATAAAAGTTTTAAAGTTTAAATTTGTATGCAGTAAATATTCTTCAAAATCAAAAAACTGAATGGTGAGGAAATTCTATCCTGTAGATCAAGGTTCATGCGTGTTATTATACTCTTGTTTATCTCTAATTTTCGTTAAAGTTATGTGTTTGTAACAATAATTATTTTTAATAAATCGAAAAAATATATTTATTTATTTATTTTTATAGAGAATTACGAGTTAGGGGGCCTCATATACAGACGTTTTTCTTCCAGAGATGTGTTGGGGCTCCCTGCTTATGGGACCCCAGACAATTGCCTGTTATGCCCATAGGATAACACACCAATAGATACAAAATGAGAGGAATTGAAGATAATCTCTATCATTCAGAGACCCTATTTACAATGTTTTAAAGTATTAAAAACCTTTACAATACTGTAAATAGATGTATTGATCTCTTTTGTCTTGTACTGTACATTAAGCTGAATTGCTACTGTAAATGGAAACAAGCCAGAGTATGAATCTAATATTCTAAATGTGTTTTTAAATTAAATATTTAATAGGTCAAAGGTCTGATATTCTTAATGTAGACTATTAACAGTAAACTTCGTAAGTTTCGCTTGTACAAGTACGTTAAGTTTAATCGTCGGATCATTGTCTAGAATAGCAATTTCGCTAATCAGGAGCATCGACCATTTACAAATGTACTTCATCCCTCCCCAAAGCCATAAATCACTTTCATTTTTGTCTTTGTTTTTTACATAAAAGACTAAATTTGTATTAAAAATAAAAAAAGACATAGTTGGATTTACACATAAGCTAATCAAACTACAATTTAGAGCCTCAAATAAGGCATCGAGATTATTAAATTCATTACTACTTGACGAAGAAAAGCACCTTATATGTTATAACAAGTCTAAATCATGCCTTTTGTTTTACTTTTCTGTCCTGCAAATATAAACATCAAGAGGCCTTTTTTTGGGCCCATCGTAGGCAGGGTAGGGCAGACAACCCCAAAAAGTTCCCAATGTTTTCGAGCGCCTGGCTTCGAATCCGGGTCCTCCAGAGCAGTAAGATGAACCTGCATTCAGACATGCTTTTCTTACGTTACGTCTGGATAATCAAATAGAGATTACAAATAACTCCTTCTTTGATTAGCCAGCGTAACGTAACGTAACGTAATTTAAGAAGAGCCTGTCTAAACACCTGACCACTTAACCGCCTCTATCATTAGGCTCGTAAATTCTAATTTGTAAATAAATTTAGACCCTTTTCGTAAAGAAATTTAAGTAGAAAATAAATTATTATTATTTTTATTGTTTAAGAGATAATCACAGCAGTTAACAACCGAGGGGGAGGAAAACGTGGAAAGAATTCGCTTATAAAAATATTTGCATACAAATATCAAGAGAAATTCTAAGAATTTTATAAAATTAACCAAAAAAAACTCTGATATTTTTAAATATAAACTTTATTTGGCTTACATTCTATATATAAAAAACAAATATATTAACTCGACGAAAGCCAAATAATAAAAAAATATACACATATATATAGGCCTATTAATCATTAACACTATTAAAAATTTACAAAATTTCGTTAGTTTTTCTTTGTAACATTCTTATTTAGTAATACAGTCAAACCTCTAAACAACGGACACTGTCGAGAACATAAAAAATGGCCGTCGTTTGAAGATCATTTATCATGCATTCCCGCAAAAAGAAAAATACGTTCCTGAAAAAAAAAATGGCTGCCTTTTAAGAGATGGCCGTTGTTTAGAGGTTATTTTGCGTAAGTAATTCAAAAAGGAATATGCCTAAAAAAAAATAAATAAATAAAACGGCTGCCGTTAAAAGCTGGTCGTTGTTGAGAGGTTATCGCGTAAGTATTTCAATGCCTGAAAAAAAAAATGGCTGCCGTTGTTTGGAGGTTATTTTGTACGTTTAGAGGTGGCCGTTTTTTAAAGGTTCGACCGTATTTTATATTTAATTTAAGCAAAAACTACTATTAACCTTTTACAGGGAATGTATATAAACTATACTTATATAGGCATATTTAATACAAACCTGCACTGAGGATTGTTACTTCTAGGATAAGTATCTTTCTCTTTAATAATCCTCTGCAATGAGTCTCGACATTGATAAAGCCTGTCATTGTTACACCGTTCGTTCATACAGCAAATTTCATTATAAATACCTGTAAACAGTTTTTAATATTTAAAATTTACTACATAAACAGAAAATTGATTATTGTTATTATTTTTTATATATAAAAAAAAGTACAAAATAAACTTTTTAAGTATTTAAAATATAGTAATTGGGTTTTTTTTTAATCTCATAAACTGTTGATAGAAGTTATTAACAAGAGAATGACTGGTATGATCCAATTGATTTGCTTTATAGTACCTGAATTGCAGGTATATATCCAGTGATCCCTGCAAAGATACTCTTGATCTGAACTGACTCTATCCGTTATACTTGAAACTTCACTTTCTCTGGCTTCGAAACAGTAATTTTTAACAACTTCTCTAACACATCTTTTATAATTCCAAGAAGCACTGAAAATAAAATAAAAATCGTTTTATATGATTACGTAACTCATCAACAGATGGAGCCACATATTTAATTAATACATTTTGTATATTTAATGTATTTTCGTTTGGCCATTTTTTATTAACGATATTACACAATGCTGTTGACAAGAGCTTACTTTAACTCTTCTTTAGCAATCGTCTTCGAGTATTTTATTTTTTCCCCTTTATATTATAGATAAACAATTGTATTTCTTCAGCATCCTCTTCTCTCTGTGCCTGAGAACCGAAACGCGTATGAACAATGCTATAATATTGCATTAATGACACCGCATATTAATTGAACGTAATTAAAAAGTAATACTGAAATGTGGCCTATCTGCTCGTTTGTTTACAATTATAGTCCGCGCTGCAAAAGAGTAGACACGAGTCAGCCTGAGCTGGAAGAGTTTATGTCAGATAAAAGGGTGGAAAGTAGTAAAAAGACCTTTTAAATCATATTCTTCGTGGTTTCTGCCTGACCCGCAATGGGGCAGATGGGTGGTGAGGGAATTAGATTGGATTGATGGATTATGGCAAAGCAACGTATCTGTCAATAGGGGTGAGGACTTTCTATGTGAAACTAGTCTCTATTTAGGTGTCAAACACGTGAAGAAAACACGGAAAATTCCAAAATTCCACGTGACCAGGGTGTTGGTGAAGCACGAACTCCTCCACTAACTATTAGTGTTCAGCGATTTTTATCCGCTAATAGAGCAAATGAATTACAGTATTTTTATTTTAAATCCCTATTTTTTGCATATTAAACTTTATGTTCATCGATCATAATTTTTGTCCTGGTGTTTTTATAGTAATTTTTTTCTTATAAAACCTGATTTCCAGCTAATTTTCTTACAAATAACCAAGCACTCTTTTTTTTATTTTTTTACTCTATATAGCCAATAGCAGAACGAATTCGGTAGCCTGGTCCATAGAGTTTTTCTGGGATTCAAAATTTCAGCAAAAATTTGCTAGATATTTTCTACCTTTAAATACAGTATATCAATGGTGGATCCAAAGAATGGCGACGGGTCGATCGGCCTCGTGAGATTTACTCTTAAATAAATATGTATTTCAATCGTGGATCTAACTCTTTCAAACTATGGGCAACTATCATTCTGGTTAGAACAGGTTGTTTGTCATCTTAATATAATTAACATAACACTAACGAATAACATACTAAAAGGCACTCCAATTATTCAACACGCGCTTCACCATACACAGATAACACACAATACACCAAGCACTTACTACACATCAAAAATTGTTTAGAGTAAACAGAATGTTAAGCACACAACACAAATGCACATTACACACATATGACACAAAACACTGTGCTACAATGTTACAATGCATTAGTGTTCTCGGAGTGAAAAGAAGTCCATGGGCTCTCTTCCCACTCCGTGGTCAAAAGAGAACCCCCCATTGTTCAGTGGTGCTATCCATTCAGTTACCACGGTGGTACGTTGTACCACTGATTGAGTACTTCTACAATGAAGTAATTTAGAAATTAATTTTTCAAAAAATAAGTAAATAAATATTATAATACTTTTACTTTTTTACTTTATAATCGATTCTATAAACCATTTATTATTTGTTCTCGATTTTATTTATTTATTTTTTTTCATGTGTTCATCTTAGTCTATTGATTTCAATTTTACTGACTTGAATTACTGTATATTTAATCCTACGTTTAACAACACTTTGTCACGTTTATTCACGTTTATTTTTTATTTGTATAAATATTTAAACATGGAATAATATTTGTATCGTAATGCATAAAATCTATAATTCCAATAGTCAGTTAAACTAAATACAGTAGAACCTCCATTATCCGGACCTCCATTATCCGGATTTTCGATTATCCGGATTGTTCAAAATAAACAAAAATTTTACGAATTTGCTGATTTGCACTTGGTACGTGATGGAATGCATAACTTTTTTTGTTTCAACAACGTATCACCCAGCACAGTGGTCGTAAACTCTTAAATATATTTTACGTAGTAATAAAGATATAACTTGACATACGTATTTATAAATAATTTATATTCAAATTACATCATTTCTATGACCAAGGGCGGCGTAAGGCATGAACGACGTGGGCCACAGCCTATGCCTCGCGGTCTGAAGGGCCTCGCGCCTCGAAGGTCTATGCATTACTTAAAAGCCGCGAACGCGACGAAAAAATTTTACTCGTCATAAAACGATAAATAGTTTGTCAAATTTTTATTCATAAAAATGCAGTTTCAACTGCTTTTTATTTTATAAAATCCGTCTTCTTGCGCCACCAGAGGGCCTTTTAAACAATAAGTAGTCTGTTAGCGTTGGTCGGTAGTAGTCCAAATTCAATATGAACGTTTGTTTCTTGAAAGTTTGATCACCATTTAAATACAGTATTTACTTTTAATATTGCCGATATGTCATCCAAAAGAAAACGTGTTGTATTATCATCAAAAGACGAATTAAAGTATTTGTTTCGATTATCCGGATTTTTCCTTATCCGGACTACCTTCATCCCCAATTAGTCCGGATAATCGAGGTTCTACTGTATTGATATACTGTGCATATTTTTTAAGATCGAATGAAGCCACTAAAATCATAAATAATGTTACGAGATGTTTCTAACCGGTTTTAACCATTCTTAAGAGAAGTTTTACAAATATACACCGGTTAACTGACTTTTGGACCATTTATAGGTTAATTGTTTAATCAACAATTACGATGCGAGAATGCACTTATTCTTTCTTAATTAGTTCAATTTTTGTAGATAAATTTGTGTTTAAATCAGTTAACAAATAACATGCCTACCAGTAAAACCACTGAACTATTGTCGAGGGTTCATATCTGACCAACGGTCTGGCCACGTGGAATTTTCAGGGTTTTCTTCACGCGTCTGACACAGAAATGGAGAGCCAAATTCCCCCTGTTTCTGTGGTATCACAAGTGTTGTGTTGCCTTCCATCGTCCGACTAACCAGTTAATAACCATCCAATAAATTTTATAGTTAAAATAAATCCTTGTATAATTTTTTACGTCATACTTTACTTACCAGCAAGATCTTCTCAATCGTTCTTCGCTATCCCTCCATCCTTGAGACTCCTCCCTTTGGTACTGATAACGATCTAAACATCCTTTAACTTCCGTAGTTGCCCTGGCATTACACCCTGAAATTTTAGATTTATTTCGATGATACAACGTTAAAAATGAGCTTATAACTTATCATTTCAAAGAGAATTTATCACTTTAAAATAAGCAATGTAGAAGGTATTTAAATTACACTACCTGTTAAAGAAGAAGATTCGGAAATACGTGCAGCAGAATCAAAAGAAAGAGATATTTGACTGGTTCCTGGACATCTCCACACCATTTCCTGCGCTTTATCTAACAGATACGAACTCAAGACTTGGCTTTCTTCGGGATCGCATCTTCTCTTCACTACATCAATCACACAATCCCGAAATCTCAGATAATTCCTTTAAAAATTTAATAAATAATGTAAAGGTTTTTTCCAGTATGAGCCACAAGTTTGAATAATTCTTACGTGCATGAAGCTCGACTTAAGCTGTTTCCTTCGATAGTAAATAACCTTTCACACTGTTTAACGTCGTCTCTCTGGAAACAACGAGATTGCCACCATCCTGAGAGAAGACAATAAAGAAAAATAAACAAAAATTATATTACGTACGCTTATTGAAAGATATTACTTACCTCCGAAAGTATCGCAAACGCTCTGAAGGTACTTCCAAGCTCTCCAGATAACATCACTATTTCCATCCCTGTCTTCGTAACTGTTGCACATGGTTACTTGGAAAACAATGCAATCTAAGTTTTGTCGAATTGATCTGTAAATATAAATTTATATCGAAGATAAAATGCTCTTGTTGCCAGATATTTGAGGATAAAATCCAGGACAAAACGAGTTCTTCCCGAAAGATACTGGGACACGCCATAGATGTGTAATTTTACTCTGTCAGTGACAGAAATATTGGATTTATAATGTAGAGAGAGAAAAGATACTTTATTGTAAAAACAGTTTATAGAATAAAGTCTCCTGTCGCTAGATATCAACCGAGAAATATCCGTGACAATCCCGGAAAACCGGAACATCTAGCAAATCTCAGTGGTACGTTATTCTACGGGCAAAAAGGGAAATTTTCCGGAGCCCCTCCCAAACAAATCTTTTATAAATGCATTTAAATTTAAATTTGAGCCATATCTGAGGACCCTAGATTGCCGGTGTGGCTCGTCAACATTGTACACGTGGACCTCTAATTAAAATTTGTCTGGTCGCCATGAAAGTATAACGAGCCACTTGGTGACTCTAATTATCACTAGAAGAATTATTACTAGTGTGTATATATATATAAATTGTAACACTTACTTGCAGTGATATTGTAATTCTTGATGAGATAACCCACTGCTTCTACGTTGTAATTCTTCATACGCTACGGAACGACACCGTTTTAACCTGTCGCTGCTACATTCTTCGCCATTACAAATTCCAAACACTGTTAAACAACGATTAATTGTATTATATCGTAGTACAAGCCTTCTAAGTATTACCATGAATTGTTAATTGATTGGGTCATACAGTAAATATTACAAGACCTGTATATATCGCCACCCTCATAAACATTACAGAACTCTTCAGTACGATTGTATACTTGCAAACACTTTAATACCAGTAGGCCCCCTTATAACACTGTAGATAATTCCATGTTATATGAAGTCCATGTTGTACGAGTCACTTAGATTTTACAAATACGTGTGCCGGGCTGTGAACGGCTCACGTATGTGTAAAATCTAAGTGACTCGTACAATGTGGAATTCATATAACACGGAATGTTCTACAGTGTTATAGGGGGGGTCTACTGTACTTGCAATTTATAAACCGACTTCGATTTAGTCTCCGAAATTGGCACTAAATCGAGGTACGTTATTGAGACTTTGATGCGACTTGAGACATTCTTATATAACTTTCAAAGACCCATACTGTACTTCGTTTTAGCGCCAGTTTCAGAAAAGTGCTGGCGCTAAATCGAAGCTTCACTATGTACGTAAATTAGGATACACCATTGATTTTAATAATTATTTTATTTAAATAGTTACAGTAATACC